ACAGAGAAATATGTATGTTCAAAACACCAGTAAAATATCTTCAGTGAGCTTGAAGGGTCATAGATTACAGTTGCTAAGCTGAATGGGAGACAGTGGCTAAACAGTCATATATTTCCAGCAATGTTCTATTCTGAAGGAACCTACAGAATAACCCTCAGCACTTCAGAAATTTTCTCTGCCCTGAACTGACCAGTGTCCTAACTTTTTATTGTTTCATCATTGTATGGCTTCCACTAACGCAAGCAGCCATCAGCCAAAAAAACCTACATTTTCATTAAACATCACAAACACATTTTAGAAAAGATGCCTAATTTTATTTAAAATATTTAATAGTTTACGAATATAGTATATATGTTTTTAATGAAAAGGAAATAAAATTCCACTTGAACTGCGACTTTCTGAAGGCAGTCATGATGTAGCATTTCTTCTTCCAACAAAATCTTCTGTGCTCTTATCAGCAAAGTAGCTTCAAGTATCAGATACAGATCAAGGCAAATGAACCAGTGCACAGAATTCAAATTCTAAGTTAACATCACAATCACTATGTGTAAGCAGGAACATAAGGTATCCTCTTATTGATGACAGGATTTCACTGAGCCATGCATAAGCTCTCAGCTGGTTCTTCCTATGACAAATGGCACACATACATGCAAGATTACAAACTCCTTATAAAGCACAACAATGAAATGGACAAAATGGGAATAGAACCTACAAACCTCACTCATCCCATACTCTAATCATCGAAGTTTATCTGTCCCAACAAACAAAACATGTGTCACAGAAAAACCTAACAGATAAACTAGGAACAGAGGTACTATCTACTTCTAGGCCTCACTCTACAAGTACTAAAATTGTTTCAGTGTATACTACGGATTAATGCTATGGATTTTTATCTCTGTCTAGTAGAACACACATAAAAAAGGCACAACAGTAACACAGGAAAATCAGTAGCATTTTCTTAAATCAGCAATAATCTACTTTAAAATAGTATCAATTCACAATATTTTTTAAAACTACAATAGATTTCCTTCTCTTCCGTCATATATGGAATACCATTCCATGCTCTTGGATAAACTGACCTAATATTATAAAGATTTCACTTCTCCCCAAAATAAATCTACAAATTCAATGCCTCCTTAATCAAAATTTCAGTTGTGTTTTTAGAAACTGTAGCTCTAAAATATACAGAAAAGAATAAAAATCCACAAATAGCTAAGCCAACTTTGAAAATGAGCAAAGAATGGAGAACTTGCCCTACCAGATATGTAACATCACTAGCCATCTGGGAAACGCAAATTAAGGCCACAATGAGATATCACTAAATATCTATTAGAATAGCTAAAATAAAAATATAGTGAAATTAACAAATACATTACTGGTGGGAATGTAAAATGGTGCAACCAGGCTGGAAAACAGTTTGGCAGTTTCTTCAAAAAACTAAAGTATGGTACACTTACCATACCACCCAGGAATCATGTTCCTATGCATTTATTCCAGAAAATGTGAAAAGTTATACCCACACCAAAAACTGTACAAGAATGTTCATAGCAGCTTTATTTGTAATAGCCAAAAACTGGAAACAAATGACTAAATGTGAATGGCTAACCAAACTGTAGTACATATATACCATGGAAATACTACTCAAATTATACAACAATTTGGATGAATCTCAAAAATTGTCTCATCCAACAATCTGGATGAATTTCAATCTCAAAAAGTCACATGCCTGTACAAGTCCATTTACATAGCACTCCTGTAATGATAAAATTACAGAGATGGAAAACTGATTAGTGACCAGAGGTTAGGAACACGAGGCGGAAAGGAGATGGATGTGACTAGAAAGGGGCAGCACAAAGGAGACCTTTGTGGTGCTAGAATAGTTCTGTATTTTGATTGCAGTGGCAGTTACAGGTATCTACAGGTAATAAACTGGCACAGAACTATATACAGGCATTGTCCCAATCTCAGTTTCTTGGTTTTGCTACTGGACTATACCACCATACAAAATGTAACCATTGATGGAAATTGGGTGAAATTATATGAAATGTAACCACTGGGAGAAACCAGACCTCTCCATACTATTTTTGCAACTTTCTATGAATCTATAATTACAATATTTCAAAATAAAGCTAAAACAAAATAAACTGAAAGAATTATTTATGTATGTAAAAAAAATAATACAAAGCCATAGTATTCAAACAGCATGGTATGAGAGCAAGAGCTAACAAATAAACCAAAGGAACAGAATACAGTGTTCAGAGTATCTATGAGAACTTAATACACAGTAAGCATAGCACCACTCATCTACGGGGAAAGGAGAGGGTGACACTAGGAAAATCAGCACACTATGTGGAAAATAAACTGGATCTCTACCTTGTGACATATCAAAAGACACCCTGCATGTATTAAAGATTTACAAATTTAAAGGAAAACTATGAAGTTAGTACATAAAATAGGAGAGTAACTTTGTGACATAGAATTGGGGAACGACTTCTTAAAACCTCCAAAACACGAACCTTAAGGCAAAAAAATTTTCAATTTCATTATATCAAAATTAAAGATTTCTGTTCAATGGAGGTATCACAAAAAACATTATAGACAAACAACAGAATAGGAACAGATAAACTTGTTATATTTAAAGAGCCAATATCTAAGAAATACAAGGAACCTCTGCAGATCAACAAGAAAAGGAGTGAAACCTTAAAATAAAAATGGGTAAAGGGATGAACAATTTTAGATAAGGAAAAACTTGAAAAGATAAAATGCACATGAAGAAATGCTCAAACTCATTAGCAATAGTGAAACGTAATTTAAAATGAGATTTTACTTCATATCTATTAATCTGGAAAAATTAGGGCACTGGATAACACTAAGCATTGGTGGGGATACAAGGATACAGAAACTCTCATGAACAGCCTGCAGGAGGATAGACCACTGAAGCTTGCTCTGGACCACAATCTGGCAGTCCTTCAATAAAATATATGAATACTCTATGATCCAAAAATCACGTTCCTAGATATATATCCCAAGGAAAGCATCAAAGAGGTCTGAAAGATATGTTTATCATAGTATTGCCTATAGTGGTAGGAAAATGAAGGTAATACAGGTATCCACAAATAGAAGAGTGGACAGATAAACTGTAGTAGATATACATTCTGAAATCTTGTGCAGCAGTTAGAAGCAATGGAGAGCAACACAAATAGATCTTTAAAACATAGTAGAGGAGAGAAATATTTTAACGAGATTTATAGCATGAGGTCATCTCTACAAATTAAAAATGGGGGCATCCAAAATAACACATATTTAACAACACATACAAACAGAAGGCTATAAATCACACCTGTTAGAATGGGTGCCTGTGTGTTGATGAGTAAGGGAATGGAGTGGGAATTGTAAATAAACAAATGAAAAAAATAGGAGACACGCCTTGAAGAGCCCAATGATGACTGCAGAATTGAAAAAGATTAACTCAGTCCTCTCCACCTTTAAGGACTCACACCTAAAATGAAGCACAACACGAAAGCTAAATGCCATCCTATGACAAAGGCACAAAACCAGCTCACTACTTTTAAAGTTTTCAATGCTAAGCCTGTTACACAGATAAGCCACTCCACTTCCTTTGCTTCAAACAAAACATATCCAAGATAAAAAATAAAAGGAAATAAGATACAAGGCTCACTACCTCAAAATTTGTTGGGTTCCCATAATGATTCTCAAGGCAAAGTGAAGTCCCTTTAATTGATTTATTTATCCAGATCTTTTAAAATCTGGCTATGGTGGCAATAAAAAAAAAGTGTATACTCTAGTTTTGCTGTTAAGTACGGTTCTGGAGCTTTTTTTAAAAAAAAAAAACATAGACATTTAAACAAATGCATTTCTCTACCATAACCTCTAAATGAAGTTAATAAGGCAATTGTTACCTATTTATATTGTTCCGTTTTCCCAATTTGAAATAACTAAGATCTGTTATTTTAGACTAATTCAAGGCAGTTTTTGATTCTTCATAATAATAAAGGTATTTCAAAACATTATTTTCATTTTTAAGCTACCCTCCCCCTCCAGACTGTCAAAAGCTGCTTATGAAGCAAGAAAATTTGTGTGTAAGAAAATTTCAAAAACTCAGTCAACTTCTTTCACACAACAGGCGATTCTTGCCATCTTGTTCATAAGGTCCTAAGCGATAAACATCTGAAAATCATGAGCTTGCCTTTTTTGGCTCATGGCAAATGTTACAGTGAAAGGAAGCTGTAGCTCTCACTAAATCCCAAAATCAGCAGCATCAACAATACCAATGCAGCCTGCAATGCAACTGTAGATGCCATAGTTTCAAGCTATAAGAACTAGCTAATTCTGCCTAGCACCTGAGAAGCTGACATAGCAAGTGAATCAAAACATAAAACGTAATTTTTGAATCTGAGGCAGGAAGTACTGACTCCAAACATAGAGCTTCACAACGCCAGGACCCAATGGTGAATGAGTGGGAGCAGCAGTCCTAGGGCAAAGGGATGAGAACCGGCAGGGGCATCCCAAAGATGAAATTCTAACAGACGTATCACTACCTTAGGCAAGGACAAGCTAAAAAGGGGTACCAACAGGTAAAGACAGACCATATGTACCCCAAAAGCAAGTGCATTACCTAAAAGCACTGTCAATAACCACCCACCCATCATCACTAACCACCTCACCCAGCTTAGATTGATACTGAGGGCAAGGTGGTCCCATGTCAAGACCAGAGCCAGCGTAACCAGAAGTAAGCGTCACCCACCAGACCAGAAAGCCCCAAAGACCCCCGGCAGGACGCAGGCTCCAAGCAAAGACGCCCAGCTGTGGCCTGAACCTGCAGGCGGCGAAGAGAACACAGCTTCCAGCAGCAGAGCTCTGACAGCTGGCACCGCCCCCGACCGGAGCGGGCCGTGACCCTTGACCCCCGGGCACTGACTTCCAAGTTGCGGGCACAGCTCGCTCTGGGGTTCCCCTGGGGAAGCTCGAAAGCCCCCTACCTGTCACAGCTTCATCTCGTGCTGGGATGTTCTCTGTCGGACCACCCGTGGGCGCCCCGGCATAGGAGAACAAGGAGAGGACGTATCTAAGGAGGACGGGGGGGTGGGCAAATCCTGTGAGAAAACCTTGGGAACCGCAACCCCAGCCCCGTCGCCGTGTCCCCACCAAGGCTGCAGGATGCCGTTGCCGCCGCCGCCACCACCGCCGTCGCTGCAGTAAATCAGCTGACACCGGCCTCAACTGCCGTGACTTTCGCTGCAACTGTCGCAAAAATGAGGGGGCGGGAAATGCTCCGGCCTTCCCCACGCGCAGGCGGAGGCAGGCGCCGAAGGGGCGGGCCGCTGTACCATGGAGACCGCCCAAAGCCGAGGGGCCAACTGTGGGCAAGAGTGCGCGGCCGCCATTTTGGCTACGGGAACCCTGGTCTAGGCTTTCGGCTCGCCTGGAATTCCCGGCAGGAAGGGCTAATATGGAGGGAAGGATGAAACGGCAAGTCTAGGTGTTCCCAGTGACCAGGATGGTGCAAGTTTACTCTTCTGCCCCCGCGCCTCGGTCTAGACGCCTGGAAAGTGTTAGCTCTGGAATTTGATTACTGTTTCCCTCTGACCCCCGAACTTAGCTGTGGCCCCCGACACAGAGGGCCACACAGAAGAGGAACTCTGCTGCTGGACTAGAGAAAGTCCGATTTTGTGCACCATTCCTGTAACGGAGAGAAAATGAACGTGCGCTCTCCATGTGGGCGACAAAGAGTAGCGGAACCTGAGTTCTGCATCCAGAGAAGCATGTATTCGGATCCTGCTGCCTCCATTACACACTGTTAGTGTCATCTGGGGCATATTGCTTCTTCCCTTTTTCTCTTCAATATCCCCATGTAGTACAAAATAGGCATAATAACCTCATGGATGTCTAGGATATTAAACGAGCGCAATAAATGTTAACTACCTATTATGCATGCCTATCTTCCTCCCAAATGTTTGTTGAATGAATAAATGAATGGTAGCCAAGGGGAAAACTGGTGCTGTGCTGGTGGCCAAGGGTCAATTCTGTTAAAAAGAGAGAAGCTATTCATTCTAGGGTATGTTATCTCTTTATAATCTCACTAATGGATTTACAGGACAAGTAAGAGTTCTATTGCTGTCCTCAAAAGTTACTGTGCATGAGAATCAGCTGGGGAGCCGGTTTAAATGAAGTTTCTGATTCAGTAGGAGAGGAGTCTGAGATTCTACACTTTTAACAAGCTCCCAGTAATGCCCATTGCTGCTGGTTCTTGGGCTACAGCTTGAGTAGCAAAATCCTATTCGACAGGTTGGAAGCAGGGGATTAGGGAATCGGAAGAGGGCAGAAACAACTCCAGACAGGATCCTTTCCTTGCTAATTTGCCAAAAGAGAGCGCAATGTTTGGTCAAAAAGCTTCCTTCAACAATTTCTTATTCCTGCTGATAGCAAACTTCTCCTTCCGCTTCTCTTCAGGTTAGATATCCTCCCCCAGCAACACATTACAGACCCATTAGTGTCCTGGGTGGCATACCCCCTTTTCCTTCACTAGGCCATGTAGCATCCCTTAGGTCTCAGGTGTTGTTTCTTATATACCATTTCTGTTTATTTGTAAAGACCAGCTCTGCTGCCACCATAATGAGAAAAACTAAATCATAATGTTGACCAGGGAAATCAATAGAACATGTGAAAATCAATAATTCTGAAATTGTCGTATACTGCAAATTGGAATTCTATGATTTTCTTCTACTTTTGACTGCTTTGCAATCACATGGGGGGGGGCAGGGAAATGATGTTAAGTAGAAGAAATGAATTCCTCAGCCAGCTGGGTTCAATAAACTCACTCCATCTGTTGTGATGATGAATACCTTTAAACCGTTAAGTTTATAATCCTCTTACAATTTATAAGAACTTTTTGAAAATAGGAAGCACAAAGTGGTTACCAAAGGATAATCTTAGTCTATATTAAAGCTTGTTTGGTTTGTAAAGGAAATCTATAAGATATCTTTCCTGGATAAAGCTGACTCTTTTAGTCTACCAATATTAATTGAACACTTACTGTGTTTCAGATGACTTCCTAGGAATACAAAGGTTAATAGGCAGATTAAGGAGAAGCTTTCAGACAGGGAACACTCGGGGCCCTCCCTACCAAGTTTACAATATTTATTGCCAAAGTCTATATGTGTGTGTGTGTGTGTGTGTGTGTGTGTAATCTCCTGAGCCACAAGACTAAAATAAATATCCAGATCATAAATAGAACCCATTGGGGTAAGGGTCGGGAATTTCAACATGCTTCAGAAAAATTCACACATTTTTATACACACACACATATATATATATGTTTTACATATATAACCCTCCTGAAAATTAAGATTTGTACCTTCTATAAGCTGATCCTTGGTATATTTATTTGAATAAGTAATTTATTTATTCCTCTCCTCTGGAAAAATTATATAAAAGATTTAAATAGGGGCCAGCCCAGTGGCACAGCAGTTAAGTTCACATGTTCCGCTTTGGCAGCCCAGGGTTCACCGGATCAGATCCCGGGTGCAGACCTACGCACTGCTTGTTAAGCCATGCTGTGGCAGGCATCCCACTTATAAAGTAGGGGAAGATGGACACAGATGTTAGCTCAGGGCCAGTCTTCCTCAGCAAAAAAGAGGAGGATTGGCAGCAGATGTTAGCTCAGGGCTAATCTTCCTCAAAAAAGATTTAAACAACCAAACAATTCAGTTCAACAGATACTTACTGAGCCTTAAGTGAAAGTGACACAGAGAAAATGAGGATTTGGCATGCTCAGCTTCCATAGAGAAAGGCAGCCTCTGCTTCCCACAAAGATTCATGAAACACGGAATTCCCTAAACAGTGAGGAGTGTGTTGGGTGCTAGGCAGCTAAAATGAATGACAAATGTCCACCAAGACATCTAGTTCTAATACAGTGCAGTATGAGAAATACACAACATAAGGAAGCGTTGAGGAAAGAGATGAATTACTTCTAAGTTGGGGTGAGGAAGAATAAGTACATTAGATTTTATGGAGGGCTAGAAAAATGAGAAAGATTTTGAATAGGAAAAATTGTGAAAGGAAAACAACTTTCTTGCTAGTACTCAAATGTAATACGTGGATATATACAATAAACAAAGTTAAATTGAGAGGAACTATAGGGGACCTGATGTAAGTGTAATAGGAAACTGTCGTATTAGGACTTAGCTATTTCTGCCCCATGAGGGTCTCCTTCAACAGGCAAACTTTGCCCTGGAGCTCTGTCTTAGGTTTGTAGAGTCTTTCTCAGATTGGACCTACACCCAGTAATAAAAAGTAACATGGGAAAACAGAATAAGGTCACATAACAAGAGGCCTTGAATGCCCTTATAAGGTTTTTGGACTTTATTCCAAAGACAATGAAAAGCCATTGAAGACTTTTGACCAAAACATAGAGTGGTGTTTTTCCTAACAATATTCTATTTTGTATTGCTGTATAACAAATCACCACAAATTTAGTGGCTTAAAACAACACACATTGCCTCATAGTTTCCATGGAAAGGAGTTCAGACACAGGTAAACTGGGTCCTCTGCTCATGATCACACAAGGCTACAACTGAGGTGTCAGCCAGACTGTGTTCTCATCTGGAGGCTCGACTACGGAAGAATCTGATTCCCAACTCCTTCAGGTTCCTTCATTTCTTTGTAGCTGTATGACTAAGGGCCCTGGCCCCCAGCTCTTAAAGGGCACCCACAGCTCCTTGCCAGCTGGGCCTTACCAAAGGCCCTCTCACAACATGGCAGCTTACTTCTTCAAACCCAGCAAAGAGAATCTCTCTACTGAGTACAAGAAAAACGGAGTCATCTAGCTATAGATACAGATGATATAGATAGATACAGATGAAGCTGTACATAGTAACCACATCAAAGAAGTGACAGCCCATCACCTTGGCCATATTGTGTTGCTTAGAAGCAAGTCACAGGTTTCACCTGCACTCAAGGAGAAAGGCTTGACAAGGACAGAGTGTGACTCATGGAGTGTGTCAGCCACAAATATCAATCTGGAAGCAATGCATCAGGTAAACTTCATAAGAAAGACAGAGAGGCAAGGAGGCAAGTGGAAAGCTTTCATTGTTGTTATTTTAACCAAAAATGTACACTTGTCACCAGACAGAATCATAAATGGAACCCATGGGGTAAGTGTCAGGAATTTCAACAAGCTACTGGCATTAAAAAAAACTTGAGTATCACTCATCTTTAGAATTTAACAGCAATTAAACTACAACACACCAATACTTCTTGGACTTCCTAAGTTCCAAGTTCTCCAAAAGGCAAGAAGATTTGTTCCTCCATTTTATAAATTTCAAAAAAGGGAGATTATCATGCTGCCCAGTGGTCTAACAGTGACTTCATTATTACTGTCATTTTCAGATTGTTTCATGTGAGCTGTTATTTTTTTCCTCATCTAGATTGTAAATCTGTAGTTTGGTGTTCCCCACAGTGCCTGCCTAGTATTTTGCCAATTCTCTCCTTTCCTGAGTGCACCCATCCCCCTAAATGTCATGTCATGGTTGGGGACTTCACGTTAGCACTGAGAGTCCTCACACTTTATCTTGTTGCAGCAGAGCAGTTAGGTAAGTGTTCTTTGTGTGGTTTTTGTGTAATTAAAACTCAAGAGCCTCCCTGTGCATTTTCTCACATGACATAAAAGTCAGCTGGTGAAACTTCTCTTTTTTTTTTCCTATCTCATGACTTCCACTGAATTACATCATATCTTTCCAAGTAACAAGATGTCTTTTTCTAGAAATATCTCCATTTGCTCCATACTCATGCCTTCTAGGAAGGAGTGAAGGTGATATGTTTGGGGGTGCTCAAGCTCTTCACTAATGTGGGTTTGGGGGTCCCTCACCAAGCTACCAAGATCAGCAAGGGGAAATCAGGATAGTAAAGGAAGAGACGATAAGTGGCAGTTGTAGCTCTGTCACCAGCTGCAGCAACAGGGGCTGTAGTCTGTCCTGCTAACCTCCATCTTCTGTTTCCCATCAGGATGAGAGGACCACCAGCACTCCAGCATAGTTGCTTCCCAAACCTGTGTGGAGAAAGGGATCCATGTGCTGCATTAGTGGGCTGTGCAAGACACAAAGATGCACACTCAGATTCCCCTTCCAGAAAGAACCACTTCCCTGCTCCAGGGAGAGCGGTTTGCTCTCTGCTCCTGCTATTGCCGTCTTCAGGGTCACCTGAGCTTTCCAGCTGAGGTTATGCATTCTTCGGGCAGCCTCTGGAGAATGCCTAAGCAAGCCAAAGTTAGTCAAGAGCACACTATTCTTGGGGAGTCCCCCAGTCAGTGACTAGCAAGAAGGTGTACACCCTTCTTCTCAGTGACCTTCTTCCCTCCCCCTCTTCTTCTTCTTCCTCCTGTTCTTCTCTTCTTCTTCTTTTCAGTCCCTTTGCATTTTTTAAAATAAGAAATTGGAAAAAAGAAAGATTAAACAAAGTTTTCAGAAAAGAGAGACAAGAGACATCACCCAAAGCAATGTATATACCCTATTTTGATATTGATTCAATTAAGTTATGAAATAAATTAGGAGAAAAATGGTCAATCTTAACATTTAAGTGGATATTTAATGCTATTAAAGAAGCACTGTTAACATTTTAGGTGTGATAATGGTATTTGGTTGTGAGTTTTTAAAGGAATCCTTGTCTTCTAGACATGCAGGCCGAAAGATGTATGGATGAAATTCTATGATGCCTGACATTTGCTCCACAATAATCTGGGATGAGCGGGGTGGTGGCTATGAGTACTTTAACTTTACTTCTATTTTCATGAAATAGTACTTTCTTTTACTCATCCTAAATTTAATTTGTCATAGTGGAAAGCGTCATTTCTTCAACATCCAGTGATGTTAGGCACTAAGCTGAGCTGGGAATGCAGATAATGCAAAGACCTGGTTCTGT